ATGGCTTGGAGGCAGAAAATAGATCTCCTGAAGTTGAATTAAATGAATTATATGATTTAGACTACCAAATGACCTCTCTTCCATGTCCACAGTTAGGGGTGAGTGGTACCTGTAGGGGCTCCTCAGGCACCCACTTCACCCTTGTTGTTACACTGATAATGCAGGGAGAGCCTGGGTATTGCCAGTGAATGTGGAGAGGAGGTCAAGGTTAAGTACTAAAGAATATCACAGGGAGGGTGAGCTGCATCCACAACATACAATTTTAATTTATTCCCTATTATTTTAATTCCCTACTCGCACTCACACCACTACCCTTCATATCCTTTTCTATTTGTGTGTCCTTCCATGAGTATGTGTAAAATGTGTACTATTGCTTCATGAGTCTTTGTTTTTAACTTATATAAATGTCTACTTGTATCTTTTCACTCAGAACTGATTTTAAGATTCATGGACATATATCAAGTTCATTGCTTCTGCTACATAATAATCCTGATGTACATCCATCACTTCTTACCATTCCATGATGATAGCCACCCTCAGTGCCTCCAACTGTGACACCATAAATATTGTTGCAGTGAACAGCCTCACATATGTCCCCTTATATGCTTGGTTAAGACTCTCATGGGGTCAGGGGACATATATGCCCAGGAATGAAACGCTGGGTTACAGGATATGATCTGGTTTGACAAGGTACTTTCAGATTTATTTGCAGAATGGTTGCAGAAATCTACACTCCCTCCAGCAGTACATGAGTTTCTATATCCTACCTCTCCTCCACTGGTAGCAATAATTATTAATTAATTAATTATTAATTTCTTCCAGTTTAATATAAAACCAGTAGTATCTTACTACTATTCTAATTTGCCACTCTTCATTTTTCTTCACTGTTTCCACTTCTACCTTTACAAAAAGTCTATCCTTATCTTTACCAGTCTCCTTTTGGTAGTCTTGCCATTTTTTCTTGTTGATTTTATTCTACACTGTAACACTGTGTATTCTACATTAGTCCCTTGTTGATTAGACGTTACAATATTCTTTTAGTATGTCCACTGCATCCTTCATTGGTTATATGATATAGAGTTCAAGATCCCCATTTCTGTCTTCCCGGAGATCCCTGACAGACAATCAGGTTATTGAGTCACTGCCTCAGCCTCATGGAACTAAATGAGCCACTCTAACCAGTTAAGATTTTACCAGACTTTTTGTGGTTTACCAGGTCCACTGTGTGGCAAAGCTCCTCAAAAGAAATCCACACCATTCTCTCAGTCACCAAAAGGCCTTCAGCAGGCCAGGAGTTGATAGGGCCTTCAAACATCACCAACTGACACAATGATATTCTCCCAAAATGCCTGCTTCACCCACTATGCTTAGAACTAAGTGAGGGTTCCAACACTATTTTCCAAACATACACCCATCCTATTACCAAGAAATGAAGGACTGAATCACAGATAATAAAAGGAAAATGAGAAGCAACCCTTAATATTCTTCTCTTTCAAAATATGCAGTTGCCCAGTGTAGGGAGGTTCTGGTCTTCTATTCTTCTAACCACCTCTGGCTTAAAAGCTATGTACATAGATGATTTTTTCATGGTCCACCTCTTCAAGCAAAGAACAGAGTTACCACAATGAGGACAGCAATGAACCTGTGACAGAATTAGCACCCACTTTTTCCTTTATTTCAGATTAGGTTCTGTGTGGCCTGGAAACACCTTGAGCACCCAGTTCAAGTTCACACCAACACAGCTGGGGCTCCAGAGGCTCACCGTGGAAATGGATTGCAACATGTTCCAGAACCTAATCAGCCACAGAAGCATCACTGTGGTAGCCCCAGAACTTTCAGCTTAAACTTCCCAGCTCTAATCACCATTCTCCTCATAAACTCTTGAAACTACACTCTAAAACCAAACATGTGCTGCGGAGGGAAACTCTGTCAACCAATGACTCTCCATTCAGGTTTCAGAAGAGTGACCAATTACAAAGTTAGATTCTGAGAAACCAAAAGACCTGTCACCTGGCTTAAAGCAGCCCTGAGGGCTAGATGTTTTAGAACAGAACCATTAGGTTAGAGTGACAAAAGGATGCCTTTGAAAAGGTACTCAGATCTAACTTTTCAAAGTATGAAAAGTATATCTACATATTTGCCTTTTCAGAGTATATTCAGATTTTCTAAGTTTGGGGCTTTTCACAACTTTTACTGAATAATAAAACATTCACTAACTTAGAGGCAAGGGAAAGGACCTAATGTGCAAATCATTATTCCATTTCTGATGAAGTAGTATAATATTAGCTAAGACTGAAATTTTTAGATAATCATAAAATTATATTGATTAGTGCTATCATTACCCTTAAAGATCCAAAGATGACTGAACAAATGTATAAAATATATAACACAGGCCACATGTGGTGGTGCACACCCATAATCCCAGTGACTTGATAGGCTGAGGCAATGGATCCTAAATTCAAGGCTGGCGCTGGCCACTTAGCAAGACCCTATCTCCAAAAAAAAAAAATGAACTGAGGATTAGCTCAGCTCAGTGGTAAAGTGCCCCTGGGTTCAATCCTCAGTACCAATTTTTAAAAAAATTTAATACATATACACACATCTAAATGCATAAAAATATATATACTCACACACCATACATACATACATACACATCTAAAAATGTGTACATATGTGTATGTACACACATGCATGTGTGTATATATACATATTTATATATTTGTAGATAAGTGTTTATATATATATGGTGTATATATATATATATATATATATATACACCCTATATAATTATTTACAACACAGAACCTAAGAGCAGAATGACCTACATTTAGCTATAGATAAATATTTATTAGAATTCTATATTCATTAAGTATCCCACAACTAAACACTGATGTTAATAACATGTATTTGGTCCAGTAAAGAAATATGAAAATTAAATATATAGAAAATAGGCCCTATAAAAAAAGAATAAATGAATAAGAGTCGTTTTATATACAGTTGTGATTTATTTACATTATGTTGTTGCTTCAGTAATTCACTAGTTTTAGTTCTTTTTTTTTAATAAATAAATTTTTTAGTTGTAGATAGACACAATACCTTTATTTTATTTATTTTTATGTGGTGCTGAGGCTTGAACCCATTGCTTCACACATGCCAGACAAGCGCTCTACCACTGAGTCACAACCCAAGACCCTTAGTTCCTTCTCTTTAAAAGTGCAGAATGGAACTTTAAAAAAAATAGGTTAAAACTCATTTGGTTTAAGGAATTTCAAATCTAAGGATGTACTGGTCACTGAAAATAATGACTGTTTATTGTTGATTATATCTTAAGAAAGACAGGTTGCAGAGACCTGTAGTACATACAATAGGCCTAATTCAAGTCACCACATATACAACATTTATAGCTTTACTCCGCTTTACAACATGTGATCTTCTAGATAGATGCAAAAATATAATTAAGTGGAGATAATTTTGCAAAAGAATGTACCAAATAAACTTAAATTTATATAAACTCTAATATATAAAAACTTTTGATTTATATACTGTGGTATTTATCTTTGGGAATGTAATATACAATAGAACAATAACAATAATGTATAAGGAAAACAGATCTGTTTAATAAAGTGGAAAAACCTAAAAATGAGCTCAATACCAACATATTTTAGAGGCAAGGAGTAACCTGGGGTAATATTCAGAAGGAATTATATGAGAATAATATTATGTAACATGCTAAAACACTAAGGGGCTTTTTGCAGTCATTTTCTCTAAATAAATTAATGTCAAGTGTTTTTGTTCTAACTAGACTTCTGATCAGAATCAGATATTTAGCCAGGTGCGATGGCACACACCTATACTCCCAGCAGCTTGGGAGTGTGAGGCAGGAGGATCACGAGTTCAAAGGCAGCCTTAGCAACAATGAGGCGCTGGGCAAATAAGTGAGACCCTGTCTCTAAATAAAATACAAAAAAAGGACTGGGGATATGGTTCAGTGGTTGAGTGCTCCTGAGTTCAATTCCTGGAAAACCCCCGCAAAAAAAAAAAAAAAAAAAAAAAAAAATCAGATATTTATACTTATAAACCCAAATGAAAGTAATGGTGGTCTCAGCAGACTGCATTTCTGGTAGGAAGAAACTTTGGAAGGGTATTCATTTAATTGCTAGCAAATAGTTAGCATTTCATTGAGACCATTGGCATCTGTAACAATGAAAAACACACTTTATTGCAAATAAGGATTAAGCCAGCTTCCCTAGGAGTCTCTGAGAGGCCATTCAGGAATACTGATTCATGCAATTATCTTTTGTATCTAGCAGAAAAATATATCATACTCATACTGTTTATAAATAATTGCCAATCTGGCTTAACCAACAACTTTGGTAATAGAGTCTCTTGTTAAATATAGACAGGAATTCCCTTTCCATCCAGCAAGTATTCTAGCTCCATTCTTAAAAGCAGACATTATAGATCTGGCTGGGACAATAAGAGAGAGTAAAAGGAGAATATGAATGCGCCTGAAAACTCATAATTAAATTTCACTCTGAGTGAGCTCCTTAATTCTGTTCATGCAATGATCAACAGCATTAATGAGTAAAGGGATCCAACTATCTTCTGGCTGAGGGGTCACATGACTTGCTCTGTAGAATAAAATGGGGGGGGAAAAGTTTACTATGAGAAAATCTATCCTCAGGAGGATATTCATGCAATGATCAACAGCATTAATGAGTAAAGGGATCCAACTATCTTCTGGCTGAGGGGTCACATGACTTGCTCTGTAGAATAAAATGGGGGGGGGGAAAGTTTACTATGGGAAAATCTATCCTCAGGAGAGTGCACAGAAGAAACTACAGTAAAAGGCAAGTTTCTTCACAGAAACCAAAACTAAAAGAAAACCCCAATCCTTCCCTTTCCTATTTCTTGAAGTGGGAACTTGGGAGTTAAGAAAGTCAGACAGACACTCAGCTTTATTCTCAAAAGGCTAGCTAGGGAGAAGTCTTCATACTTACTTTGTAATTTCGAGTGCCTTCCTTAAAACAGATACAAGTTTTGCAGACTAGAAAAGAAACAGAGAAGTTAATCACCCTGAGCCCTGCCATCAAAAAGGTAAAGGAGAACTTTAATTTTTAATAGACCCCCAAAATTACAAAAAAAAAAAAAAAGTTAAAACAAGAACTCATTTAAAAAGAACCTTGAATATACTCAAAACAAAATGCTGACTAAGTTGAGGTGGCAGGATTATAAATTCTTTTCTATTTAGCAAAATATTACTAATATTGTTGCTATAACATTTTTTCTAAATTTTTAAAACTTAAAATATTTCTAATTTTTAAAAAAGAAAAGAATGTAGTCTGAATTTATCCTATCTGCTAAGAGCTCAAAATATAAAGCAGAAATAACTAATGTTCTTTACTTTAAAAATGTACAGAGGGGCTGGGGATGTGGCTCAAGCGGTAGTGCGCTCGCCTGGCATGCGTGCGGCCCAGGTTCAATCCTCAGCACCACATACCAACAAAGATGTTGTGTCCGCCGAGAACTAAAAAATAAATATTAAAAATTCTCTCTCTCTCTCTCTCCTCTCTCACTCTCTCTTTAAAAAAAAAATGTACAGAATTTTAACAACACCAATATCAAGTTAACATGGGGAGGTGGGGGACACAGCTCCATGGTAGAACATGTGCTTACCATGCACAAGGACCTGGGTTCAATTCTCAGCACACACACACAAAAAAAAAAACAGAAATGAGGATGTATATATCCCAACAATATACAGTAAGACATATAAAGATTACATATTTTTAATTTCTTTAGTAGTTATTATTTGGGATAATTGAATATTATTAATAGGCATACTGCTAAAGATGTTTAATTCTTAGGAAGTTAACTTTTAAACTTAATGCCAAAACAACAAACAAAAAATTTAATGCCCTAAGGATACTATTCTTCTTCAAGGTGTTTGTACACTATGAACACACATTTTGATGAATCTAATTTCCACTATCAAATTTATCAAATATTAGAAGGGGTACATCTGACTATAAAACATAAGTCATTTGGGGGGCTAGGATTGTGGCTCAGTGGCAGAGTGCTTGCCTCACATGTATGAGATACTAGGTTCGATCCTCAGCACCACATAAAAAATAAATAAATCAAATTTTAAAAAAAACACCTCAGCAAATATTTATAATGCACAAACATATGCAAGAACTGTGACATTACTGTTGTGACATTACTTTTGCACCCAAGTGAGACAAATAAATAAGTACCCTGTACTTTACAGAAAATACTAGTGACTAGTGAAATTCTACAAATAGGTCTATAACTCCTCCCAAAAAAGTCAATACTCACATTGATTCGCACAGTCAGGTGGCACATAGGTGGATATATGCTCAGAGCCAAATCATCCACGCTAGGAGCAGAAAGAAAAATAACCATTATCATATTCAACAACAAAAACAAAGGAACTAAGCTAGCTAGGTTGTTTCTAGTATACAACTATGGATGTAACTAGGGAGAAACTGGCTGTCCCAGAAATGCTTGTCAGTTCCTTAAATTGGGCAACCAGGCAACCAATGAAAATCAATTTATCCAGTATTCGCTGAAACATACATACCCTATTTCACTAGGAAACAGGGATGGGAGGGAATGCCCTTGGTTCGTTCATAGGACAGGACATGATTAATTTAGTAAAAAATGTGAGGATCTGAAATTATCAATTTAGTAACTGATACAGGCTCATCAATGGAAGCTAAAATTGTTACATAAAAGACACCCTTAGTGAAGAAGACACCACTTAAAACATGATCAAATTTGGGATTATCAATAATGAAACAAACTGATATCATGACTTCCCCAATATGACAGAAGGCACAAAACATAACAGCTATATGATAGTCTTGCAAAAAAAAGAGTTTAACCTGTCTATAATCCCTAGAAAATTATCCTATGAATACAAATTGTTAAGGTATTCTATAGGACAACTGATGGGTTTTGTTTTGAAATGTCAATGTCAAAAAGAGACTGTATTAAACTGCAAGAAACTAATTTGAGACCTTGATAGAAACCTGGATTTTATATAAAATATTTTAGAGACAAAGGGAAAAGTACGACTGTTGGATAATATTATATTCAACATTAAATTCCTCAGATATGATGATAAGACTATCTTTGTTCTTAGGAGATAGATGCTAGGTATTTAGGGGTGAAATGTCATCGATGAATACCATTATGGAACATCTATTTATCAAGACATAAACCAATACAGGAAGAAAAATGTGAACAACAGGTGAATTCATATGTAGGATGTAGAGTTATTTACTGAAGTACTTTTTCAACTTTCCTGTAGGTTTAAACATTTTCAAAATACAAAAAACTAGGCAAAAACTTTGGGATGACAGCACAAACATAAGCTAAGATCAGAAGTCTCCTACAGTTTCAAGTGGGGAACATGTTTACCTAGGGCTGATCTCATCAGAAATATCCACAATGTCATCCAGCTGAGCCACCTGATCCTTCTTCCCATTCTCTGCCACTAAGATCCGTATTTTCTTCAGGCAAGCTTTGGATGATCTCACCAGTGCAAGACATGGGATTATGAGCTCTTGATCTTCCTCAGACCAATATAAGTCTCGATTGCTTGGAAACCCCAACACATCTTCATTGCTGTGGTTGTCCTCCTCAGAATCATTCAAGAGACCACAGTAAGGGTCACATTCTTCCACAGCCTACAACATACCATGATAAATGTGAATGCAAACAAAAACAAAAACACCTATTTTACTCTTAGCACCATAACTGAATTGTTTAGAAACCCCAGCCAGGCTAAGCACAATATTGCTCCTTATAATCCCAGGGACTTGGAAGGATGAGGTAGCAGAAGCTCAAGTCCAAGGCCAGTGAGAACAACTTAGTGAGACCCTGTCTCAAAATAAAATATAAAAAGGACTGGGGATGCAGCTCATTGTTAAAGCATGTACAGGTTTAACTCCCAGTACAAAAAAAAAAAAACACCCAGGCTGGCTGTTTCACTAACAACTAACAGCTAACAGCTACACAGTTAAATCACTTCATGAACCCTGTTCTTACTCTCCTTGTCCAGCAAAGGAACAAAGAGAAGTGGTACAAATTACACAGCAGAATGGAGTGGGAATGGAAGACACAGGACAGAAGTGAGAATGGAACCAGCTAAGTCAATGCTCAAGATATCGCCCCCCCCGAATTTTTTTGTAGTTGTAGATGGACAAAATGCCTTTATTTTATTTGTTTATTTTTATGTGGTGCTGAGGATCGAACCCAGTGCCTAACGTATACTAGGTTACACTCTGCCACTGAGCTACAGCCCTAGCCCATATCCCCTTTTAATTTTTTTATTCATATGACAGCAGAATGTATTACAATTCTTTTTACACATACAGAGCAAAATTTTCCATGTCTCCAATTGTATACAAAGTATATTCACACCAATTCATGTCTTCATACATGTACTTTGGATAATAATGATCATCATATTCCACCATCATTAATAACCCCATGACCCCACTATGAATTAGCCTCCTTATATCAAAGAAAACATACAGCATTTGGTTTTGGGGGATTGGCTAACTTCACTTAGTACTATCTTCTCGAATTCCACCCATTTACCTGCAAATGCCATGATTTTATTCTCTTTTATTGCTGAGTTATAGTCCATTTTGTATATATGCCACATTTTTTTTATCCATTTATCTGCTGAAGGGCATCTAGGATGATTCCGCAGTTTAGCTATTGTGAATTGTGGTGCTATAAACATTGATGTGGCTATGTCCTTGTAGTATGCTATTTTTAAGTCCTTTTGGTATAGACCGAGGAGAGGGATAGCTAGATCAAATGGTTCCATTCCCAATTTTCCAAGAAATCTCCATACTGCTGTCCATCTTGGCTGCACCAATTTACAGTCCCACCAGCAATGTATGAGTTTACCTTTTCCCCCCATATCCTCGCCAACACTTATTGTTGTTTGTCTTCATAATAGCTGCCATTCTGACAGAGTGGTTTTGATTTGCATATCCCTTTCTTTATAATCTATTTTCTACTGGTCATGGAGTTTGCCCTCCAATGACCAGCAAAGGCAGAGGTTCCCTCACCTGCTCCATTTCTTCATGTGCATCCTTCACAAAATCCACACTCTTTGTCAGCATTAATAGGGCTGCAGCTTTATTATCTATGAATGAAAAATTGAAACACTAGAATGAGAGAAGAAATCTTATAATTTCTTAAGACTACAAAGGGCAACCAACACTGTTTTTTTTTTTGAAGAGAATATCAAAGTAACCTAGGGTCACCACCTAATGTAAAACTCTTTTTTCACTACCTCCCCTGGAACTCAGACAAAGATTAAAAAGCTTTTCTTCATTCACCACAAGAAATAAAATGGGCACATGATATTTCTCATCACAATCCTCTTATTGACCACTGCTTCTGACCTGATAACTGCTTCAGTGTGTCCAATAAAACTGCCGCGGGTAGTACTAGAAAAAAACCACATCTGTTCAGCAAGAAAGAGAACCAAAAGTAGAGTCTGAATTTAAAAAGGTGTTATAATTCAATCACAGCATGCTTGTCTAGCATATAGAAGGCCCTAAGTTAGATACCCAGTAGAACTAGAGAATGGCAAAAAGTATACTAACTATTAATGCAGATGACAAACTAAATCTATTTCACTAAAGTGTTTATACAAATTAAAATATATAAATGCTACAAAGCAGGAAGTTAGACATGGGATGTCTTTCTGTTTTGGCCAGCAGTTACTGGCTCATCTCCCACTCTTACCTACCTTTTGGTATCTGAGGAACTTGCTGGCATGCAACCCAGACATTGTTGTAGGAAATAAGGTTACTGTTTTCAGGGCTGGGGAATGGAATCAATGAAAATATTATCAATAATCTAGGTTCTTGTCTCGTAAAAAGCTCCTTCCTGCTGGTCACTATTCTGGGCTATCTGTAACTTTTCTCTTAGGGTGAGTTTTCCCCTGGGTCAAGGAAGCCTATTAACTGCTAACCCATACTATGGCATCAGTACCTCTGAGGTGGAGTGATGAGAAGCACTTCCACAAGCTGAGCCATGCCATCCACAATGTCCAAAGTGGCACTCCGTACCAGCTTTCTCAGGGTGATCCCTGTGGCCAAAACCAAAGAGTCAGCAGCCTGGTCTCCTTTTCAGAAGTCACTGTCCATTTTCCTGAGTCTAAGCATTAGAGAACTATAAGATAATGGCCACTCACATGCTTTAAAGGAAGTACCAAACACAAAACTCAGATCTTATTTATATCCTCATATTATTTTCTTATCCCCCCACCAGTACTTAGAGCTGTTCCTCCAAGAGATTTGGAATACAATCTTTCCATCACAACAAGTACTCATTCATTAAGGACAGTAGCCCCTTGACAACTGTGGATAAAATGCTGAAAGTTTAAACAATCCATGAGTAATCCTAAAGATCTATGGCATGTATTCATTTATAATTTTGGCATGATTATAATCAAGACATAAATCAGAGGAGTTAGGCAGGACTAGTGAACATTTAACCTATTAAGAAGCCTAGAAATAGAGTATGCTGTAATATGAATGCAGGAGAGATGGGACAGCTTTAGTCTAGGTATATGGGGCTGAGATTGAGCCAGCATCTAGCAGTTAGATGGAAAGGAAGATCCAAAAAGAATTAAAAGCCTTAAGATTCAGACAAAGCACAGGAGATGGAAAATCTTAGGTACAAAGTATCTGTACCTTAGTATAATGGAGTGTTTACATAGGTCAATTACATTATAAAATTCTCCTTGAGGTGCATGCTCAAACTGGGGAAAGGCAAAAGTCTCAGGACATACCCATCATTTTAGCAAAGATGTAGCCTACAAATGCAATATTAATGTGGGTATAGTATCTTACCCTGTTCCTTGGGAAGTGAATAGTACACCGCAATAATTGCCTTGATGGCAGCATAGACTTGTTCACTGATCCTCTGGGTTTCCTATGATGTGACAGACCAATTTAAAAATAAAGAAAGGAAATTGATTAGAACAATTTAGTCAACTCACCTACTGTAAAAGAGAATAGACATCTGTAAAGCATCATTAAATATTTTCTGAAGTCCTATTATGAGTTAGGCCTTGTGATAAGACTCATTGTATACCACAGAGGAGTTAGTGGAACACCAAACACTTGATGACAACTCAATAAGGCACAAAGAAACAATAAGTAAAACTTGTTCCTGGTTAACTCTATATCCCAAGATATTCATGATGTGCCATGAGATATTCACCATGTCATAGACCAGGAGTAGTCAAACTATGATCCACAGGTAAACCAGACCCATTTACATTTATTATAAATAAAGTATTACTGGGACCCAGCCATGGTCATTAGTGTACATATTGTCTATACCTGCATTCACACAAAAAGGGCAGTACTAACTGGCTAGCCTTCAAAGCCTAAAATATTTACCACTATCTGGCCTTTTACAGAAAAAGTTTGCCAACCCCTGTAGATCATTAACCAAATCTCTATGTATGTGTCTCTTTCAACAGAATCAAAATATGTACCTAAAAGTAAATAACATGGACTGAATAATGCTCAATATTAACTATTTTCCTTCTAAGCAGTCATTGGTTTTCTTATCTTTCTTGTCCTCACTTCTCTGTTAAATTCTAAACCAGTGCTTATATGTAAAATGTGATCCAGGTTGGTGCCAGTCCACAAACTGTTACCTGTTTGGGATGAGATATCCCCAGTGATTGAGAATAAATGCTTAGAAACTTTTTAAAATTTTTTCAATGCTGGGGATCCAACACAAGGCCTTGCATATACTAGGCAAGAACTCCACCTCTGAGCTATATTCTTACTCTGTTCAGAAACTATTATGGCAATACACAAATTTTTATAAAAATATCAGTTCATAAAGATTTTTCGAATCTTAAAAACAAAAACAAACAAACCACTCTGCAGTAGGACTAAAATGCTGACGTCCGAAGAAGGAGACTGAATCTTTGTATATAATTTCAATTAAACTATGTTCCAATTTTTCATCTATGAGTAAAACTACCATCCTGAACATATATAGAAAAATAATCCTATGCTATCTCCTCACTGTATTTTTCTTGCTACAAAATTTAGCAGGAAGTTTTTCTTTTCAAAGAAAGAAGCCAGCAAATATTTAAAAATAAGATAATACTTCCTTTGGAAAAAATACACCTTCTATGAATCTTTTAAAGTGCTCTCACATAGTTCACCTCTTGTTTCCTCATCATAGATCTCTAAGGTATCCAAGGAGAAGGTTTACCATTGTAGTCATATGCAGCAAAGAATATTTATATCATTTCAAAACATCTGGATATAGACTTGGGCTGGGATTGTAGCTCAGAGGTAGAGCGGTCACCTGGCATATGTGAGGCACTGGGTTCGATCCTCATACCACATAAAGTAAAATAAAGACATTGTGTCCACCTATAACTAAAAACTAATATTTAAAAAAAATCTGGATATAGACTTAAAATATTATTAAAAAATCAAATAAGATAATGAATATGCCATTTTTAAATACCCTTACTCTCAAATTAAATATGGGCAGTTCTAGAAAAAAAATGAATACAGGGAATGCTATGTCACAGTCAACACCTTTACTTTCAGTTTTATAATGAAGAATTATTAAAACTGTATAATTTCTTTGTTCTAGCAATTTCTTCTTGGGAATTTTTTCTACAAATGTGTACACAAAGATTATATTCAGCAATTGACCACAGGACCATTTACAATAGTTACAAGTTGGAAACAGTTTAAATGTCCACATAAGGTATTGACTAAATTATAGTTAAGCTGTCTGCTGAATATTAAGAAGCTATTACAACTTTTTAGGTGATGCTAAGAATCAATTTCTAAGCTATACTATTAATTTTTTAAAAATGAAAAAGTACAGTGTTGATAGTATCTGATCATTTGTGTAAAAAGCATATATATATACACATATACATGTAAATATGAATATACATATGCATAGAATATACAGTATACAGAATACAAAAGGAAGTGAAGAGAGATGACAAAAATGAGGAACAGGGTGGGTAGGTAGAAACATTTTAGCATACTTTGTTAGTTTCTGAATTTCACACTTTCTACATAAATTACTGATTACATACAAAATAATTCACTACCAAAGGGTCCTATGCAGTATAATAGAATAGGTATAGCTTAGCATTCAGATAGACCTTATTTACATTCAACTTCGACTTCTTACTAACCTTAACCTGAGCCTCTGACCCTATCTACTTATCTGTCAGATCATGTATGTGAAAATATCTAGAAAACAGTGTGCACTTTAATTTTTTTCAGAAAGTAAATAACCAGGCTAAATTTAAAATTGCAAAAATTAGGAGAATGGTCTACTCATGCCAGGCAATTTGGTTTCCACAACAATCCTGTAAAGTAAGAAATGTAATCTCATTTGAGATTACATGAATGAAAAAAGTGGAAAGAAATAGCGAGGATACCTAAGGAATAACAAGACAGCACAAGGATTCCAGTAAAGTGAAGCTCACCTGTGGAGATGGCAATGGAAGTCGAGAGAAGACTGTAGTCAGAGCGGTGGCTTCCCATGACACTTTAACAGCTGCCTCATCTGGGGGGTGGGAATAAGGGGAGGCAGGTGCTAAAGTTAGTGCCAAAAGGCTAAAGCTGCAGCTGCGACAGGGACTTGGAAGATAATGCGTTCTCTCTCCTCGCTTATCAGCCTAGACAACTCAAAAACAGCTCCAAAAATCAATATTTTATATTTTAACCACTCAAGTGCCAAGGACTAGCAAGGTGAAGTATCCCCACAGTCGGGATGAGGCGGGGGAGACGCAGAGCCCTCCAATGGGGACTGCCAGCAGGAAAGGGACCGTGTCGCTGGAATAGGTGAGAGGAGGGAGTCACCGACAGGAAAGGCACTCACTGAGTCTTCTCCAGAACACCTCCCGATTAAACTCCTCAGTGGACTCCCGGGCTTCGCCGACTTGTAGGTGTAGTGTGGTGGGCCGAATCGCGGCAAAAGGAGAAACTGAAGTGAGCGGAGCCACCTCCCGTACCAGGGTCCAGCCCGCAGCGCCCTACCTGGGCTTTTCTCTACCCCAAGGCCTCCCCTGGCCTCGCCAGACCCACAGCGTCAGCTCACCCCGCACTCCAGGCAAGAGCAACCGCAGCTCAGCCGCCAAGTGCCGGAGCTGTTCCAAAGGCGGAGCCAGAGTGAGGACTGAGGCTGCAGACGCAGTTTCGCTGGCCATCTCTGTCGCTCACCGGCACCTGAAAATACACGCCACCGCCCCTGTTGCCCTAGACGCACTGCGACTGCGCCTCGCTTCCGGTGCCGCCTACCCGAGATCCTTTCCGGCAACAACCCAGCCCTCCCGCTCCGCCCCTTCCTCCCTGAGGCCTGGCCCCGCCCCTTCCATTGGCCGGGTCACGCCTCCCCACCCCATTCCAACCAAAAGACTGGGCCACAGTGCAAACTTCAGGTTCGTTCTGTGTCTTATTCTTCATTCATTCATTTATTTGATTAGCTGAAACACTCCCGACTAAGGAAGCAGAGAGCCCATAACCCTGTGTATGGCGCTGGATGCTTTTACATGGGATAACCTCCCAAAATGCTGGGCCTCCTGAGATAATCCCATACACACACCCAGCCCCTACCCTGTGGGTCTCCTTGTTTAGGGCTTTCTCTTTGCCTCCTTAGGGAAGAAAGAAATCAAGTCATTATTTAGACTCTTTTTCAGTCCACTCTCCAGGAATCAGTAGTGAGTGATCCCTCCAACATTCACGTGTCCAAGAAGCAGCAGCTCTCTGAAGCTCATCCACTGACATCTGCTTTCCACCTAGTAGGGGCAGAGACCAGGGCTACAGATGCAGAGACTGAACTTCTGCCCAGCTGGCAGTGATGGGACATGCATTTCAGGAGCTCAGGTGGCTTTTTAACTGCAACATGAAGGTTCCAAACTTGGTGGAGTTCAGTGTCCACACACAACGAATGAGTACTGGTGTCAGCAATGTCAACCAGGTCCGCAAAGGGGAGAATAAAAGAGCTAGCGTGCCCTGTGTCACATGAAGAAAGTAGCAGGAATAAATCTGCCAGATATACAGCAGTAGCATAAATAGGTGAACAGGTATAATTTTCAAGTATTTTCCTTGATGGAGATGAGACTTGAAGCTGTGACCAAAGCACCTCTGCAACAAGCTCCAACACAGGTAAGCCATCAAGGGAATGTTGAAAAACACCACCTAGAATAAAGAAGCAGAACGCAATCGTTAGCTTACCATATTAGCTTCAAGCTAACGTTGAAGGAGTCAGGTCTCATTATTGGTGGCTCCTAAGAATATGTTGCTTTCTGACTTGGGGTTAGTTGTCTGATTTTTTAAAAATATATATATATATATACTTTGATCACACTTATTTGTAACACATTCAACCTACAGTTAGTTGTGTCCTTTTGTTCATCTTAAAGACAGGAATCATTTAACTTATATTGAAGTTCCAACTTATAGTACAGTATCATATATATATATATATATATGTGTGTGTGTGTGTGTGTGTGTGTGTATATATAGTAAATATTGGCCAGTGTTTAAATTAAAATTAATACAAACACATGCGAGTGTGGATGTGCGTGCATGCGTGTGTGCACGCGCACACAAACACACACACACACACACCCAGAATATACATTCTGTTTTAGTGGAATGGAGGGACTTGTATTATCAGTATATTTTTTCTTATCTTGATATTTTTGTTTGAGGTAGAATGATGAGTACTAAAGTATAAATTGGAATATCTATGTTATAATATTGTTTGAAGGATGTGTGATTCATTTATTCATTCAATAATATTTATTGTAGCAATCACTGTCCTAGGCTCTAGGTTAGGGACACACTAGTGAACAAGTCAAAAAAGATCCATCATAGAGCTACACAGTCTAACAGGAAAAAGAAAAAATTAAAAAAGGAATTACAAATTGTGATAAATTCAATTAAGAAATAACTGGATCACAAAAGTAAATAAAAGAGAGGCTCTGTGTAGCCTGAAGGACAGGAATAAGTCAGTTAATGGAAATGCATTCCAGGAAGAAGGAACAAATGAAAAGTCCAGAGGTGGGCGAGGTCTTGGGCTCTGTAAGACAACAGTAGCCAAGGATGATGAACAAGGTGGAAAGAAGGAGTGGAGCCACAAGTGTGAGGTCAGAGACATAATATTGAGATGCCTGTTATGCATCAAAGGAAATATATAAAATGGCAGTTGAGTATATAGACACTTGAAGTACAGAGAAGATATCTATGTCAGAGGTATACATTTGGAAGTCAGGAGCCTGGATAATACATAAAATCCATTATTAACTTATAATTGCTCAAAATATGAATGTACACATTTTCATAGAAAAAAAAAAACCCATGCCTTTTGGTAAGACATAATTTTCACTTGGTGTAAGAGTGCTCCGGAGAGACAGCCTGCATGTATATAACAGAAAACTGAACTTAAGCCAGAGATGTAGCTCAACAGCAGAGTGCCTGTCTAGTATGCCTGAAACCCTGGGTTCAATCCCCAGCACCAAAGTGTGGAGGGAAAGAAAGAGAATAAGACCTAGGATCTATTTACATGCTGCTATGCAGAGAATGTTGTGGACTGGGGTAAGTATTTGCTAGGTAACAGTTTTCCCTAATTGGCTGTCTCTAATCCTGCTAATCTTATTATACTGTTGTTAAGAGGTTTTTGAACTCATTTTGATTAATATTTTTTTATGTTTTCCAAACTTCAAATTACACTGAGATTTTGGTCCAGCAGTCCCATTAGGTGAATAAAACAAAGCAATTGTTAGGTAAATACTTGTCAAGTTTTTTTAATGGAGTTTTGCTATGGAACAGGATCTCTTAATTATATATTTGTTTTAGAGGAATCAAATGTAAACTTAATATGTCGGTGTTTCCCGAATAATACTGCTAAGACATCATTACAAAGCCCAGGTCTGAATTTTGTCCAGTGAAGCTTCTACTAAATAACTGATTTCCTTTTCATGTGTTTATATTTTTCCTTTTCCTCCTTCTGAAATATTTTCCTTCCTTCTTTATCATAATCAGTTTTGGTTTAACTTAAAGTGTAAAACTTATTCTATCATAAAGCCCTTATTTCATTTTCTGTCAATGAAAAAACACAATGAAACAAACAACAAAAACCTCTTTTACCTCTGATCAACCCTGAATGCCAAAATGTATTTTTGAAGTTTACACAAGAGTGGTGGAAGAAAATGGTTAGGAAGCAAACAACACTTCAGTTATTAAAGACTGCCCTACAAATAAAGTAAGAAAGATGATCTATAATGTTCAATTTAAGACTTGAGATTTTAAAAAAAGATTTTGGATTTAACTGTTATGCAATTGTTTCAACAAGGACAAGATGTTCTTAAATTGTATATCTAATTTCTTACCTGGAAAATTCCAGCTACAAATGTTGCACCACCTTGTAGGAAATGTCCATTAACAAATATCCCAAAGGAAAAGCAGAAACCCAATTTGCCATCAATAATTTCACCAAAAAACCATGGTCCTGAGAGAGGCAAAGGGTAGAAAAGAAGATTAAATAGCTACCACCCTGATTACATACATCTGAGATTCATTTATAGTAATAATAAAGATACAAGAATAGTAATCTATGAGCATTTTATTTCATAGTGTTTCTCCTTTGCTAATCTCTGTTGCATATGGTATCTTAACCAACTATTTGCCCCCTGTTTCTCTGGATCAAAAATTATCTGCATATATGCTATACTTGGAATAGATAAATAGCTTGTAGATAGCAAAAACAGGCTGCATCACACTCACAATTTAAAAAATATTCTCTTGCACTAATAAACTCAATATAATGTATTAACATTTCCTTTAAGAAGCAGAGGTATTCTACTGAAGCTAACTTTTGAGATACCTGAGATTTACTCCTTAAAGCAATAAAACCTCAACCACTTTTTTTAAAAAATATTTTTTAGTTGTCAGTCAATCTTTATTTTATTTATTTATTTATTTGCAGTGCTGAGAATCAAACCCAGTGCCTCGCTCTACCACTGAGCTACAACTCCAGCCCCCTAAACCACTTTTCAATGGAAATTTTTCTAAAATGCTCTCTTGTACTTCTCTTTCTTACTAATATAGTGAATATATTTTAGCCTTTTCTATTGACTTATGGCCATTAATTCATTCGTTCATACGTTCACTACATAATGACAATTCTTTAACAAGACTCCTAAAGCACAATAAATAAAACAAAAAAAATCAGTAAGTGGTATGGCATCAATTAAAGCTTGTGTGCAGCAAAGGAAACAATTAAGAACATGAATAGAGAGCCTACAGAATGGGAGAAAATCTTTGCCACCTGCTCCCCAAGGCATTAATATCCAGAATATATAAAAAACTCAAAAAACTTGACACCAAAAATCCAATTAGGGCTGGGGTTGTAGCTCAGTAATAGAGCACTTGCCTCATATGTGTGAGGCCCTGGGTTCGATCCTCAGAACCACATAAAAAAAATAAAATAAAAATAAAGGTATTGTGTCCATTACAATAAAAAAACCCAATTAATAAATGGGAAAAATAACTAAACAGACACTTCTCAAAATAAGAAATACAATTGGCCAACAAATAAGTGAAAAAATGTTCAACAACTCTAGCAATCAGGGAAATAAATGCAAATCAAAACTATATTTCGATTTAATCTCAATCCAGTCAGCATGGAAATTATCAAGAATACAATAACAGGTCAGGTGTAGTGGCCCATGCCTATAATCTCAGTGGCTCAGAATTACAAGTTCAAAACTAGCCTTAGCAATTTATCAAGACCTTGAGCAACTTAGCAAGAACCTGTCTTAAAAATTAAAAAATAAAATATAAAAATAAAAAGGACCAGGGATTTGGCTTAGGGTAAAGTGCCCTTGTTCAATCCCTGGTACAAAAAACAAACAAAATACACATGGAATATTACTCAGCATTAAAAGAGAATAGAATCATGGCTTTGTAGGTAAATGGATGGAGCTGGAGAATATAAAGCTAAGTGAAGTAAGCCAATCCCCCCCAAAAAATGCCAAGTGTTTTTTCTGATATATGGATGCTGATTCATAATGGGGATGGGGAATGCAACATGGGAGGATTAGATGAACTTTAGATAGAGCAAAGGGGAGGAAGGGGAAAGAAGCGGGCATGGGGGTAGGAAGGAAGTGGAATGAGACGGACATCATTATCCTAAGTACATGTATGAAAACATGAATGGTGTGACTCTACTTTGTATACAACCAGAGACATGAAAAACTGTGCTCTATTTGTGTATTATGAATTGAATTATATTCTGCTGTCATATATAACAAATTAGAATAAATAAAAGAAAATTTAAAAATCTCAATATATTCTTTGACAGAATGCTCTACAATTTGAAGTTTATTAACTTACTTACCAAGCACTACATACAGGGTCATCAACAACATAGAATAGTAGAAGATGTTTATTTTGCTCAAGAGGTGAAGGGAAAATGACATCAAATTTATAAATCTTGGAGGTTCTAAACAGAACAAATTTTTAAAAATTCAGTGACCACATGCAAACTTTAATTTTTTTAATAATGTAATTTTTATTTTCCAACAGATCAACTGCCTAAGATAGCACAGGTCTAATGACCAACCAATACCTTCTTTTCCTTTTACTTATCCATTATCCCTAGTGACTAATATCATATCTGACACAGTGGTAGATCAATAATTTTTTGTTAAATGAATCTACAAACAAATGAAAGTACAAGTGAGTTTAGAAGTGGTTAGATATTTTGTAAAATTTAATTTCTTTATAACATTTTCTAGAAGACTATTATGGGCTATCTGCTTTATATGGGGCAAATCCTTCATTATATGGCAACTATACAGATGATACCACTTTAAATTTAGAATCCTGGTGAGCTAATATACTTAAAATTATATAGGGTAGAAGGCATGGTGGCATACACCTGTAATCCCAGCAGCTTGGGAGGCTGAGACAAGAGGATCACAAGTTCAAAGTCAGCCTCAGCAAAAGGTATTAAGCAACTCAGTGAGACCCAGTCTCTAAATAAAATATCAAATAGGGCTGGAGATGTGGCTCAGTGGTTGAGTGCCCCTGAATTCAATCTCTGGTACCCACCCCAAAAAAGAATTATATAGGGTAGAAAGTTTAAAAAAATGGTTTAGTTGTGAGACTATATATACATTGTACTATATGTACTATAATATATTGAACTCATACATATACATACACACACACACACACACACATATATATATATATTTTAGTTTTTGGCAGACACAACATCTTTGTTTGTATGTGGTGCTGAGGATGGAACCCGGGCTGCACACATGCCAGGCCAGCATGCTACTGCTTGAGCCACATCCCCAGCCCTCATAAATATTTTTGACTGGATTCCAACATGGCGGTGGGCGCAGAGAGATCAAGTCTCTGACCTCTTCAGCTGTGCGGGCATAGGGAGTCGTAAACAATCTAAATTCTGTTTGCTCAGGATCACTAGGCAATGCTGAGCTGACGTGGATCTGGGGCCAACAGTCTGGGCCTCTCACACACTGAGCCCAGATCGGCTGGAGTGAGATACCATCTCACTCCAGTAAGATTGGCAGCCACTATGAAGTCAAACAACAACAAGTGCTGGCGAGGATGTGGAGAAAAGGGTACACTTGTACATTGCTGGTGGGACTGCAATTTGGTGAGGCCAATTTGGAAAGCAGTATGGAGATTCCTGGGAAAGCTGGGAATGGAACCACCGTTTGACCCTGCTATTGCCCTTCTCAGACTATACCCTGAAGACCTTAAGAGAGCATGCTACAGGGATACTGCCACATCGATGTTCATAGCAGCACAATTCACAATAGCTAGACTGTGGAACCAACCCAGATGCCCTTCAATAGATGAATGGATAAAAAAAAATGTGGCATTTATACACCATGGAATATTACACAGCACTAAAAAATGACAAAATCATGGAATTTGCAGGGAAATGGATGGCATTAGAGCAGATTATGCTTAGTGAAGCTAGCCAATCCCTAAAAAACAAATACCAAATGTCTTCTTTGATATAATGAGAGCAACTATGAACGGAGCAGGGAGGAAGAGCAGGAAGAAAAGATTAACATTAAACAGAGACATGAGATGGGAGGGAAAGGAAGAGAAAAGGGAAATTGCATGGAAATGAAGGGAGACCCTCATTGCTATACAAAATTACATATAAGAGGTTGTGAGGGGAATGGGAAAATAAACAAGGAGAGAAATGAATTACAGTAGATGGGGTAGAGAGAGAAGATGTGAGGGAAGGGGAGGGGGGATAGTAGGGGATAGGAAAGGTAGCAGAATACAACAATTACTAATAGGACATTATGTAAAATTGTGGATGTGTAACCGACGTGATTCTGCAATCTGCATTTGGGGTAAAATTGGGAGTTCATAACCCACTTCAATCTAATGTATGAAATATGATATTTTCAAGAGCTTTGTAATGTTGTGAACAAACAATAAAAAAATATTTTTGACTGAAAATACACATACCTGCTAGAGGTCTGTATTATTTTATTATTTATTTATTTATTTAAATAAACCTTTATTTTATTTATTTACTTTTATGTGGTCCTGAGGATCAAATTCAGTGCCTTGTGCATGCAAAGCAAGCACTCTACCAATTGAGCTATATCCCCAGCCCTGTACTATTTTATTTTCATGTAGATTCGAAAGATAGTGCTATGTTCAAAGGATCATTAAGTCTCCGTTTTCCATAGAATTTAGTACCAAAATTACAAACTTCCAAGAGATGTATTAAAATATATCAAAATACATAAAATAAATAGCAAAATTTCTCATTTTGATCTTAAATATGAGTATCTGTCCCAGTAGTCCTTTCTTGTATGTGATACTGTTCTTAACAAGCAGTTCTGTCATTCTAATTGAGAGGCACCCCTAAAGCTCTCCCAATTGATATGCTCTTAAATATGGTGCCAAAAAGCTTAAATATAAGTGCTTCACCCAAAGAAGCTCCATCTGTGGCCATAGATTATCATTTTACTTATCATGGAGCTGGTCATAAACCAGTAATCAGAAAATTATGATAAAAAGTTCAGGCACACTGAGTGACACTAGACAAAAAAAAAAAATTTAAAACAGGTCCTGATGAAAGACAGCCTAATGTAAGTTAAATAAGTTATGAAGCCAGGTGCAGTGATGCACGCCTATAATCCCAGCAGCTTTGGGGGCTGAGACAAGAAGATCATGAGTTCAAAGCCAATCTCGGCAAAAGCAAGGTGCTAAGCAACTCAGTGAGAACCAATCTCTAAATAAAATACAAAATAGGGCTGGGGATGTTGCTCAGTGGTCAAGTGCCTCTGAGTTCAATCCCCAGTACCACCCACCAAAAAAAGTTATGATTTTGCTAATAGGTCAGCATACTCATTTAATACTTATAACATTATTCAGCCTGCTGACAGTTAATTTTATACAAAGCCTAATAAAACCTTTCTCATTGTGTGTATTACTCCCACTTGTTTTTTAGTCTTGAACTTTCTTTTTTTTTAATATTTATTTTTCAGTTTTCGGTGGACACAACATCTTTATTTTATTTTATGTGGTGCTGAGGATCGAACCCAACGCCCCGCAAATGGCGAATGCCAGGCAAGAGCGTTACCGTTTGAGCCACATCCCCAGCCCATAGTCTTGTACTTTCAAAGTATTTATCTGGTTGAGAAGAAAATATATCATTTTAAGTGATTATGTAAAGTAAGATGCTTGGCTAATTAAGTATAGAATTGGGGATGGGGATATAGCTTAGTGATAGAGTGCCTGTTTAGTATTCCTGAGGCCTTGTGTTCAATTCCTAGTGCTGAAAAAAAATTAGTAAAGAATTAATCATCAGGAAGTACTACAGGATTCAGACAAGCAAGAACTCACTATGACTTGGAATGGTTAGAGAAAGGGGTACAAGAAAAGACTATTTCAAGTAAGCCATACAGGAGACTAATATTTAAATAAGTTTAGAAGAATAATTTAAAGTAGGGATAATAGCATGGGCAAAAACACAAACGCATAAGTGAGCATAGTTTGTATAGGGAACATTGAAAATTATCTGGGCTGGGAATTCCAGCAAGTGGTTGAAGACATGGCTAGTCAAGTAAGACTAGGTTGTAGAGAGGTGTCTGATTTTTAATTATGGAATTTCACTTCCATGACCAAAAAGGATCACTTCCATGACCAAAAAGCCTTACATATAAAATTCTGAGAAGGATAATTGCCTAATGATGAAGACAGACAATGGATTAGATGGACAGACTGGATATACAAGCAACAGTTAGAAGTCTGTTTGGGAATCCTGAAAGGAGGTAGTATTGAAATACCATTGGTTACCCCTCAAAAGGAAAAGAAACATTTGAAGAAAGAATCAATGGGTTTTAATAATATGCTGGCATTAGGGAATGAAGAATGAAGATTACTGAAAAATAAAATAAGGAATAATGATGCCTTGAGAGACATAGGAAAATCAAACTAGGGATGAGAGGAGCAGGTGTGAGGTATGTCAGGAGTTTCTTTGTAGAAATATGTAGAGCCACTTAGGGATTCAGTAAGTTAAATCAGGCACAGACAATAAAATGTGGGAAGCATCCATAAAACCTTGATGACTGAAGTGCTCAGCAGCTTATGCAAAGAAAAATCTTGGAGGAAAGGAAGAAAGAGGATCAGAGGTGAAAAAAAAATATCAGAACACTGATATATACCAAAAGGAGAGTTGTTTTTTAAGGAAAAAAAAAAGAGTAGCAAAAAAATGACCAGTTCTCAAGCAAGAGCAAGAAAATTGCCTCAGCTATTAAAATGGCAAGTAGTAAATTTGAGACCTGAATGTTATATTTTCTTTTTTTTCCCCACATGTGGACTATAAAGATCTTTATCTCTATATATCATTCAAATTAATATTTTTTCCTTCCTTCCTTCCTCCCACTTCTTTTCTTCCAGTACTCACAGGGATCAAACACAGAGCCTAGGCAAGCATTCTACCACTTAGCTGTATTCCTAACCCTGAAATGAATATCTTTTTAAATTCAGTCATTTTGGTTCAACATCTAGAGAAAAGTTTTAAAAAAGCAGAAAACCCTTTTAATAGCTTGTCATGGGCTGACTTGTATTCCTATAAAGTCATGTTGAAGTCCTAACTCCTATTATCTCAGAATGTCACTGTATTTGGAGATAGGGCCTTTAAAGAGGTAACTGAGGTAAAAATGAGGTCATATGGGTGGGCTTAATCCAATGTGACTGGTATCCTTATAAAAAGGAGATCAGGACACAAACAACACAGATCCAGGGATGACTATGTGAGGACACATTGAGAAGGTGGTTATCTATAAGCCAAGGAGTGAGGCCTTAGGAAAAAACAAAACAAACAACAACAACAACAACAAAAACCTGAACTTGAACTTCAAGGCTCCAGAATTGTGAGAAAACAAATTTTTATTGTTTGAGCCAACCAGCCTGTGATATTTTGTTATGTCA